ACAAATATTAAATAAATATATATAATGTTATAAATGAATCTTTTAATAAAAAAATTAATTATATAATAATATAAATTATATTATAATTTTATAATTTTATATGATGTTATAATTATAATATTTTTAATTTATAAATACAATTTCTAATTACCTACAAAAGAGAAAAAAAGAAAAAAACACAACAACGTAAACAGAATCTTATTCTCAACTAGAGAATGACAATAACTTTACCAACAAGTGGATGAGAAGATTTTCTATAGCGTTATTAATAAAATAAAGAAAAAAAAAATTAAGGATAACGATTTCTGTCGACTTAGAGAAGTCAAAGACGGAAGATTTGGTGCGAGAAAATCAGTTCGTATTGCGAGAAAATCGTGATTAATTCTCCAGCTACGATAGTAAGAAAGCACGCGGTTTAGCCTTTTGGCGTACGAAAAAGAGACTATCAGCACGTGTTTGTTGCCGGGCCGTTCGTTTTTAGACAATCCTCTGGTCCCCACGGCCATATCCAGACGGCATCTGGGAGGCTTTGGGTACGAGAAGTCCACCGCACGGACGAGCAGAGGCGGTGGAGTAGTTATCACATCAGGTCGGGAAAATTACTAGTCCATGCAAACAGGAGATTAACTGGTTTTTTTTTTATTTAATTTTTTACACAAGTAATTTGTCATAACTTGTAATTTTTTTATAAGAAAAATGATTAAAAATTAAAATTAAGTTAATATTTACTCTTAACAAGGTTTGATGTGTAATTCATCGACAATTTTATTGAGTTGCAGTGGTCACTAACGGACTATAACAAGGAAATGTGTCATAACTTATAATAAAGGGACTAAGGAAGGAGGAATCGGAAAAGGGGTTAGTACGATTTTTTTTTCTTTTTAATATTAAGTTGAGATTTGAATTTTATACCTCTAAGTTTTAACATTAGAAGATCTAATAAAGAGATAATGACCATTAAACTACTGAGGTGCTCTTGAAAAATAGATTAGTAAGATTTGAATATAATTAATCACGTAAATTTTATATAGCAGATGGTTGTTATTGTACTTATAACTTGAATTTTGGATATTTATTGAGTTATTATTTTTTAATTAAAATTTTTAATTTAATATTAAAATTAAAAGTTTAGAACTTTATAATATTAAGTAATTAAGTCTCAAATATATAAAAAAGATTATTAAGAAATTCATTGATTACTAAACTATTACAATAAATAATTTAATTTAATTACCTAATTTTATCTATTAACTATTATTAAAAAAAATAATCGGGCCTTTAGATCCAATTATTCGACTCCAAGTTTTAAAGTGTTTGGATGAGGTAGTTGAGGTTTCGAGTTTTACCGTCGTATTGAAAAACTCCCTTCCCCATCCCCAAATTGTATACTGTTTAAAAAAAATTATTATTAAAAAAATTATATTTATTACATTAATAGAAGCTTATTTTTTTTATTTTAACCTTTACTTATAATCACAATATATTAATTTATAGGTTGAATAGAATGAAGGGAAGAGGAGGTGTCATTCCCCTCCTCTTTTCTTTTATTCGCTTGAATAAATAAATAAATTAAAATAATAAAATGCATTTTTCCCCTCCTCTTCCCTATTTGTTTTTTTTTTTATAACCAAATGAAGAAAGTTTTTTCCCTTCTCTCCCCTCCATTTTCCTTATCTTAAATATACTATAAGCAAAATAACATAATTTTAACATTTAATATCTTACTAAAATGAAAAGTAATTGTTTGATACATTAGAGGATTAATTGTTTGATATAAAAAAATTTTTAAATAAGAATACTACTTTAACATTTAATATCTTACTAAAATGAAAAGTAAAACAATTAAATTAGACCAATTGTACTTGAAAAGTGAAAAAATTAAATTAGATCTA